TTCTCAATGACATGGATGACAATAGATGACCCTACATTTGAGGACATAGGACTACGAAGTTTCGAGTGAGCGGTCACTGTGTATTCACAACTAGTACGTTCTTTCTTTCTAAATGGCCCCAAGATATAGACTGTGCCAAAATTTATACGCTATGAGAGTTATAGTTCGTTGCATTGGCCACGTTTGACGTATGCGACTAGAGATGCATTGAGTCAAATCGCAGCTTCGGTCACGGTGAAATTACACAATTATTGGGTACATACGTCATCCGTGTGATATCACAAGTCTTGCTGATTTTGTGACACCAAGTAACCAATTATACCTGAATGTTCTGTATCTGTCTGTATCTGTATAGCCGGTATAACCGCCTTTCGGCATAACACACCAGCTTCGCAGGCACGCGGCGCGGCGGCAGCTGGCTATATTACACCGATCGACTCGTTACACCTAACCCTTGAACTTCTAGCTCTAGACTTTGTTTAAAGCTATCTATTGACAATGCCCCTACTGTACTTGGTGACAGTGAGTTCCACTCTGCGATAGTTCTAGGAAAGAATGAATTCTTGAACACCTCAATCCTTGGTTGAAAACTCTGGTACTTGAAGGCATGGCTATTTCTTGTTCTCTTCTTGGCTGGTATTAGGTACTTAGTAGTTGGGACATCCACCAGTTTATTAGACATTTTGTACATCATGCATAGTCTGGACATCTTTCTTCTGTCTTCCAGTGACACCCACGGTAGGTTTCTTTCAATGTTCAACTTTATATCTATATGCTTCAATTATACATCTAAGATATTGATAACTGAGCAATATTTCATTGTCTGCAAAGCACAATAGTCATATTTTACATGTTTGTGTTTGTCTGGATTTTTCTGACTTATGAATGTTGAGAAAATTGTCATTTATCCGCCAGTTTCCCATATTGCTATCGCCATATCTAAATTGGATCTTGAACAGTTGTAGCACTTCAAGGCGAGTGTGCAATAATCCCCGAAATACGTCAGGTCAACGCCGAATCAATACCTGCATGTCTGTCGTTGTCAGAAGGTCGGGACGTCTATGGCATCATTTCCGTGTCAAAAATACGGACGTTAAAAAACGTCACGTTTTGGGGTCAATACGTCACTTTTTGGGGTCAATACGTCACGTATGCTAGAAGAACGTCACGTATGACATAACGTGTGGATACGTTACGTACATGTGGTTCTACAATTTAACTTAGAATCTCATCATCATAGTCCTTTTCATCCTGTCGGACGATCAGTTCACAATTTGTGGGCCCGGCGGTGTGCAGCTAACCCAGCCCTGCTTCTGCAGGGCTTGTTGCAGATCTCACAAATGAAGGCTGAAGTGAAGCATTGTTCTTAGAATCTACACGAATATAAATTGAAGATGAATTTCAGTTTATCATGAAATGCTCTAGAAATAATTTTACGTAATAAGCTATTTGAATTTATTGAATCTAGTACAATAGATTTCTAGATGTAGATTTATATATATTCGAATGAAACAACTACAATGCAAAAAATATATAAAAGGCATTTGCTTTTATTAGAAAAAATGCCGAAACTCATGATTAGCTACTTGATTTTATACTGCATTTTATCTTGATATTTAGTAATTAGAATGTTAATTATGGGTTCACCACACCACGAAGTGGTGGTGAACCCATATTGCTTTTTCTGATGTTTCTTAAGCTTCTCCTCCTTCTCCTTCTCCTCCTTCTCCTGCCATTTTTAAATGGATTCAGCTTCTTCATTTTAGGGCCCAAGGTCCTGAAATTTGGTATGGAGGTACAGTGGGCAAATACCCCACTGTTTTTTTAATTATTGTGATACAGGCTTTTAGAATGGTTTTATTAGAGTTTTGGCTGTGTTATAGCAAATGTATTACTGTGTTAGTGTGCCTTGTTTACCACGTTTGGGCATGAGTCATCACAATGGAATGCAGGGCATCAACCAATAGGCATGCAGCTTTCCTCTATACTTCTTGCTGATTGGCTGTTGGGATTTAACTTGATTAACACCTGCACAGAGCATTTCCATACTGACAGTATGTCTTTATTCAAGTGTTTTGGTAGGTATTTCAAGCTTTTCTGCTCCAGCATTGGAATGCGGGGCATGAACATTTTTTTTTTTTTTGAAAATCAACAGTTTGCATTATGCAATTAAAAATCATAACCAATAAAGTAGGGAATAGCTATCCAACTGTTGTTTTAGTTGTATGTTACTTCATATTATAGTTATATCAATGTAAATCATTGTTTTCCCTTGTGTTTCTCATTCTTTCCCTGCCATGTCGTAAAATGTGGTGAACCCATCGCTATATTTGCTCCAAAGCAAATATTGGCCTTTCTAGTTTCTATTCTATTCTATTTCCTTTCCTTTCTATACTATGTTTAACAGTCGTTGTCATACATTGTACTATGTATCAATTGTTGTGCAATAATGTGCAATAATGTTCTTCTATCATCAGTTCAGTGCCGCGTTTGATGTTGTTCAACGGTGGTAAATTTTCTGGAAATAATTTTTGTAAGCTATCCAACTGTTTTTTATTCATTTTCACTATAAGCAAACATTCACATAGACGTAGAGCCTCCCTAATTGAACATAAGCGTTAAAGAATACATAAAGTAATTACTATAAATAAGCCTTACATAAGGTACCCCACTTACCCCGATGCCTCTCCAGCTTCCCTCTCCGAGACGCAATCAGGTATTCTGTTGTTGTTGTTTTTTTAGAAAATTACTAAGTTTTTTAAAGGACTCGAAATCCAAAATTTTAGATGCCCTGGACTGAAAGATGAAAAGCTTACCTAATAAAATGATCAAATTTGTTAACGGTTTTGCTTGTCTTGACAGTTCTCCAAAAATAACACTGGAAAGAATATTGATGTCATTTGGTGGACCAGTGGCCGATAGTTGTCATGATTTAATGGTATACTTTATGTAGGACTGTATATTTGGTTCAAGTGCGGCTTGAGGTCGGTGCCCATATTAGTAACACTGGGAAAATTACATCTAAAGGGCAAAATGTCAAAGTGTCCATTTTATCGGTGGCATGGGCTCATGGTAGACTGGGCAGAGTTAGGTCTACCCGTGCTCTATACAGAGCATAGGGTTTTGGTGCCCATGTCCATTTCCGTAGCCCTTGGGCGACACACAGTTGTGCAAGGCACTACAGCAGGGGGCTGGTCCGCTGGTAGTGCTGTGTGCTTGACCTTCCCACAGTCTTTCTCATATGTGCTGAGTGCTAAGCAGAGAAAGAAGTGTGTACCATTTTTAAAGTCTTTGGTATGACCCGGCCGGGGTTTGAACTCACGACCTCCCGGTTACAAAGCGAGCACTCTACCAATTGAGCTATTGCACCGGTCAATAGACTGGGCAGAGTAGGCCAGCACATTGCGTGAACGGGTGAACGGTTCTAAACTGGGTCATACAGATTCTACACTAAATTACAAAACTGAAATCTTTATTTATATAATTTCTTCAACATTGTGACTTAGAATTGCTGTATCAAATTACAATACCTACATGTTGTCAATGATAGGTAGATGGTTATTTATTGTAATTTCAGCGATATCATTATAATGCCAATACACTTCCAGCAGACCTAAACATGTACCTACTCTATCTCAGTTTAAAGCAGGCTTAAAACGTATGTCGTATGAAACCTGACCTCTTACCTCCATTCCTGATTTTCGTGGTTTGACCTTTGAACGGCTAGGACTTTGAGTATAGGACTATGACTCTGTTTTAACGCATCGGACTTTTATGTTTACTGTATGTTGTTCACTCTTGTCTTACTGTATGTAACAATGTCTTGTCGTGTAATTTTGCTGCCCCCCCCCCCTGGAAAACAGCTAATGTAAGCTGAATGGGGCTACCCAGCCGTCGTATGATGAAATAAATATAAATAGATAATGCCGTGTCAACTAATGACAATTAATGACCGGCCTACTCCCTGAAATTATAACGTGGTTAAGTCGCACTAGATAGAAGTGGTAACTTTTAAGCCAAAGTCTAACAAATTCTTGTGATAATTGTAATGAAAACTGTGCAATATTTAAGGAAACTGTGCAATATTGTATGTCCCAATGTATTGTATTGTATAATGTTATATGTCTAATGTCCCCCTGCATGTTCCGTCAGTTATGGCCGACGTGACCTGGGATATCAATGTTCCTTTCTTTTATTTGTGAATAAAGAATGATTTTACTACTACCATGTCAAGCACAAAGTTGACTAGGAAGACACCAGATATCTTAGACTTCCGATAAGTACAGTATGTCATCCTCGGCTTCCTAGTCCCTCCTGATCGACTCCCGTTCAGATTCTGAGTCCTTAACCTCCTGTCATTCTGCTTGTCAATCTTAAGCTTCCCCACCCATGTGCTATCAACCTACTCACTCCGGATTAACAGAAGCAACAACGGACTTTGCTGAGAAAGAATTGCCGATTCTTTAACGCTTGGTGCAGATGCGACCATATATCAGACACGTATTCCCTATTACAGTCCATTACTATGAGAAAATACCATCCTTCTTATGTCGTCAAGGCTCTCTCAGACGCATTTCGTACATATAAACACTCTGGTGGTCCCTGTCTCCCGCGCCAACAATCATATGAGAACCTTTGTACCAACAACTGTTAAACTTTGGAACAGTCTTCCGAGGGAGACCACTTAGATCAGGGACAGACAAAGATTCAAATGTGAAGTTAATTCTTTTCTCAGCGCAAACTTCTGACAGCGTTCTATCTAGGCAGTCTGGCTGCTAATGCTGAGTGAGAGCTGACATAGATAAAAAAATATAGAGATACGTCAGACATTAATGCCGCCCCAGCTGAGTCGATCTTTATCATAGCGGCGACCTAAAAATACGCTGATGTTGTTTCCTACTTACCTGTTATAATAAGCGTTCAGAATGGTGAAAAATGTGCGCTTTGTTCAATGCTTTACGGGACTACTATAACTCACACTACATTGCCGTTTAGTAATCTGGGTTGGCAGACGATATTGCTTTAGTCTCAGAAGCATGTGCCGGTAGGCTGCGTTCATTTGGATGATTGAGGATTCAGAGAAATGTATGCCCAGTGGGTTTGGATCCGTCTTCCTTTGCAGGTTTTTATGATTCCTTCTAGACACTGGGTTATTCCAAACTATTAAAAAGCAAAGCATTATATGCCTTAGCGCGCGTTTAAGGTGTTATTCTTAGCTGTGACACTTATCTTTTTTTTAGAATTACATATCGTATTAGCATCTTAAGTATTACATCCAGCAACGTATTGTAGAATTTTGTTATTAACTGTATAATGGTTACGTATTTACGATTTGCTGATATTTTCTCTTCATTTGTCGTGATTTTCATAAGTTAATTGTGATTGTGTTGTTATGTTTAAAGAGAAGGGATTGTACAAGCCTTTAAAGCTTCATCTTCTCCTGCACAGTGTTTTTTATTTAATTTACTTCACCTTAATTGTATCTTGTGTTTTGTGCGAAATAAATTTTTAAAAAAATTTGCAAGACAAATTAATTTTTCTTCCTAACAAAGAAACAAACTGCAGTATATGATAATATAAATCTGCAGCTAGACGCTGCACTGACGTTTGTCTTAATGAAATAAAACATGTTTTGTAGCAAATTATTTATTTATTTATTTATTTATTTATTTATTTATTTATTTATTTATCTATTTATTTATTTATCTATTTATTTATTTCTGTATCTGTATCTGTATCTGTATAGCCGGTATAACCGCCTTTCGGCGTAACACACCAGCTTCGCAGGCACGCGGCGCGGCGGCAGCTGGCTATATTACACCGATCGACTTGTTACACCTAACCCTTGAACTTCTAGCTCTAGACATTGTTTAAAGCTATCTATTGACAGTGCCCCTACTGTACTTGGTGACAGTGAGTTCCACTCTGCGATAGTTAAAATTTCATCTTATAAACGCCTGGGTAGCCTTTACAACAGTAAAATTGTTGATTTCCAAAAGGGTCCAGGGACACATCAACAATATAACATAACATAAACACAACATAAGCAATTTGTATAAAAGTAAATTATACAATCAAGTAACATAACTGAGAAAAGTTAACAGAGATCAGTATAACTGAAAATCAGTATAACTGAAAAGTTAACGAACGATACAACATATATAAACGGCTGAACAGAAATATACAAACCAAAATCATAATCGTGATCCATAATCGTGTCCAAATTACCTTTCCCCCGCTAGGGGACCCAAACTCATGTCACTTCTTCCCTACCCCAAGAGCTATCTACCAACCAAAATTCGTGACCCTAGCATGTCCAGATCACGAGATATCAAAACCGGAAGTTCTGCTGCAGTACCTAGGAAAGCCGCCAGGGGGCCCAAAATCTAATCATTTCTAGGTCTTATAAAGTCCTACCCACCTACCAAGTTCCATTCCAATTCCCCCACTGCTGCTCGAGTTATCTTGCTAAACCACAAACACACACACATACACACAGACACACAGACAAACGCTACTGAAAACATAACCTTCTTGGCGAAGGTAATTAAACAAAGTCATCACCGTGAAGAGCATATTAGCCATTTATCTGTTCTGTGTTTACGTCTGACATGATGAGGCAGAGACAGATATCTTTCTCCATCTCCATGTTACTTGCCAATGATGGATTGTTATCATCTCTCTATCTACACACGTTTCGATGGTTAATGTGAATCTATGAAGTCACCTTGGCACTGTACTCACCATATAATACCCTTTATGAAGAAATAGATAGCATAATAATGTTGTATCAGGCTTTATGCTGACATTGGCAATCGCATATTCATAGATGATATAATAAATCCTAATTGACTAATATCATTTATACTTCGGTATTTTGTTGACGTAAGCCGGAGACTGGAAGAGTTATGTGTGTTAAAAACATCGATGCACTTGGCAGAAATCCGAGGGATGATGTTCGCTGTAACGACTTTGGCATGGTTTATTGTTTAGGTTTGAAGTTGCTCCCGCTGAGGTTATGAAAGGGGATGAGTTATGTGTTTGTTACAGGATAACGACAACTGCGGCGTGCCAGATGGACCTCCGGAGGTACCCTCTAGACGAGCAGAACTGCACACTGGAAATAGAAAGCTGTGAGTTGAACAATAGCATACACCAGCATGAGAGGTTATCACAATTGGTAAATTATATCACGGAAAAATTAAACTCCTTTTCAAAATGACAGTGACAATAGATTGTATACATCCTTATTGTATGACTTTAGCCTCTTGGGAAAATTAATATTGATAGATTATAGCTTCATTTTCGTCAAATTTGCATGTATCAAAGCTGATTTTCATAAGATTCATCTGCAATCTAGATCATTTGGAGAGATGTTCATTTTTGGCTATCTTTTAAAATCAGTGCTTTTTTGACGCTGAATTATGCTGCTTTGCGTTGCCATCATAGCTATCGTTTCTAAATTTACGTTGATGAAAACATATAGCCCAAACGGCGCGTCCTTTAGGAGGATAAACTGTGTAATGATTTTGTTTTGACGCTTATTTTGTATTGTTAATGTGTCGATGTGGTCACCTGTGGTCACAGGGCATTCCTGAAAAGCAGTGTTTTTAAATAGCACTGAGGTTTCTACCCTGTTTAAATAAAACAGAACGAAAGAAGAAAATAGAAGAAGAATAAAATAAATAAATGATTGTGATCACCTAGATGGTAGCAACGGAAAATCAGACGATACTTTTCTTTCAGGTGAATGTTGTTTTTGTTTCAACGGTTTTACAACGATGGGGCGTCTGTCTGACTCGGTTTACCGCCCGTTACGTCGCATGGCTAGTTCGCTCACTCACTTGGGGGTTTACGCTGTTGCTAATATTTCACTAAATATGATGCCGGGTTTCTCTCCAAGGTATCGTTTGCTCTTGTAATAACTTGCGAGGAATCAATAAATCCATATTTTTAGTCACGACGCCTGTTGGCATGTTTTTTTTTTCTGTGCAGACGGTTACACCACGGATGACCTTGAGTTTCATTGGAAGGACGGCAAAGATGCCGTCATTGGTTGGGACCAGATTGAACTGCCTCAGTTCGACATCGTCGACTACAACACAGTGACTAGAGTCATCCAGTTTTCCACAGGTAAAAAAATCGCATCATAAGGCCACAACAATTTAATTTCTTGGTTAATGGATTTTTCGAGAAAAACAATGGAGCGGGCGGGCGAAAAAAATAAATAAATAAAAACAGGCCTAGGCATCCTATTATGGCCCAAAATGGTACGATAGGAGCCATGAAGTTATCACACCAGGCTGGTTCAAAATTTAAACAATGAATTTTGAACTTTTAATGATACCATTGCATTGAAAGATGGAATAGCCGTAACAACTATGATGAAAAGGACTGTTTTGAACTGTTCAGGGCAAAATATGAGCATTTTACAGTTGATTCTGAATTTTTATTTTTATTTGCAAAACAGAAAAAAATGAAGCAGGCGAATCCGTTAATAAAGAAATTAAATTGGTGTGGCCTAATGATATAATGATATAGTACATGCCATCAGCTAAACCCTGACGTCTTTCCGTCTTTCTCTGTAGCACAGATTTTGTTTCATTTGATTGGTGCCTGGTTTAATTTACTTTTCTGTTATGTTCAAATTTGTACTATACTTTGTTCAACTTACTGATTTACCATTATTGTTCTGGTTCTATTTTTCATCATTTGTAGTGTCATAATATAACAGATATTTTCTATTTATTTTGTATAATTATTCATGTCTTTTTTATGTTATTTATCCTTGGTTCTGTGGATCTCTCTTGTATCTGTACTTGTTGTGTTTATTTCACTGTTCTTTTCTGTATGTGTGTATTGCTTATTTCAAATGCAATAAAAAAACAAATGGCATCATTGGAAGACCAAAAGAGTAATATGAGCGTTTGATGACAGTAATCATAATTGATTGATCAAACCATGTGTAGCTTTCTCCAAGATCTTTTGATACCTGCAAGCCAGTGTCAAATTGGCAAGACAGTATCATTTCATTTTTATTTTATTTATTTATCCAGGGTAAGCATGTCGCCCATGTTGGCGGTTTTCAAAGCTCCCTGCAAAAACATACATAACATTATGAAATAAAGAATGAGCTTTACCTTCCAACACTAGATACAGAATTGGGACTTACCCCAAATTTTCAAGATTGAAAGTTCCAAGAGTAGACGGGTCCATTCCGTGAACAAGGTTGATGGAGTCAACCGAAAATTTGGGGTAAGCCCCAATTCTGTATCTAGTGTTGGAAGTTAAAGCTCAGTCTTTATTTCATAATGATTTGTACCAACACAGATGAAATTTCATACTAACATACATAACATGATAAACGAAAAGGCATAAACTAACATAAGAACAACAATAGAGTCGTAATAATAATCTAAAAAAACACGAACCAACTGATAAGGAACAGACACAAAACTATATAAATATAACAAATGATGTCAATATTGTTGATAATGGAACTGAATTTGCATATCGATGTTTATGAACAAATTACAAAATTAACAACAAAGAAATCATATTAACAGCTAGATGATGAAAAGGTGGTCTTAAAGGCACAGAGAGTTTTTGCATTTCTGGCAAGTGAGTTCCAGAGGACTGCACCAGAAATAGAACCATTGGCAGGGCAGTACCCATACTTTTTTATTTTTTATTTCTTTATTACAATGAAAACATATATCAAATTGCAAAGGACACTAACATGTCATACAGTGAGAAAATATCTAAAATCATAAACAATATTACATCAGTTGTCCAACTCCTGGTTCAAAAGACATCTTGTTTCGTCTTTAAATATGGCAGCAAGTGACTGACCGTTCACATCTTTCTTTCCATCACACCCTGTCCTCCAGATTACGTATTTTTGACATGTTAATTGTTCCTAACTGTGTTAGGCATGTTACGTAAATGCGTTATGTAGTCTATTATTATGATATCAAAGCTGATTGTAACATTACAGTTAAAGGATTCGTAAATAAACTTTTAACTAATTTCAAGAAAACATTCAACCTTCTACAGGAGATAAACATATGTTGATAATCTTCAACACAGTTACATGAGTCACAAATGTCACTAGGTTTTATCTTCCATACGTTTGTGCAGAGAGAAAAAAAAGATACCAGAAGAAAAAAGAAAGCCCACAAAAACACCTAAAACACGTCAAAAACAAGCCGAAGTCTACCCCTCTGCTTTGAAAATAGCTTTAAATGCAGCATAAACGAAAAAGGTCATACGGTCATTCGAACACCAAAATCATTGACTCTTATATGTAATTAGATACTTTTACAGTAGGTTTCGTCTGTTTGCTAAAATTGCCTTTTACTGTCCAATAGTTTGAATAGGATGTCGGTAAATCACTAGATGACCCGGGGTCCACATAATTGCATTTCTGGATGGCGTAATTACTACTAAAATAGCCTCCAGCTAACCTTAGGGACAGAACGAATGACATGTAATATATAACTCCGACTATCATCGAACATTTCTTGGGCAGAAGTCATCATGCACACAGATAGTCTGTATTTCTGCAAGCCTCATATAAAATATAAATCTTACGGACATATCAAACCTGATTTGTTCGATAATGAATTCATAATTTCATCTGCCTGTTCTGTCAAACCGCGATATCTGTGAGAAAAATGGTATCGACAAACCAATGAATCATTCGTAATCTATCGAACTGGTAACGACAATTGATTACACTGTAAAAATGTAGGTGTAACTACCTAAAACTGCCGAGGCCAGCCATTTCTGAGTTCGTTTGGCGCCAATAAAACCAGCCAACAGTTATATGCTTAATTAACCTGGCACAGACCACTGAATCTGTAGGTATGTTGTAATATTCCTATGCAACAAAGAATTTGTCATTACTGTAATTCAAATGAGATTGAAGACGAGAGTCATTTTATTGTGGACTGTACTCTATATAATAATGAGAGAAAGATTCTCTTCAATTGTATGCAAGATTATTTCACTAGTTTTAAATTTTTTAGATAGAAAGGAAAAATTCACTTTCCTAATGAAACTCGATAATCCTCGTACTATAAGCTCCATCTGTTCTTACATTTACAACTGTTTTGAGAAGCGAGAAGAAGCAGAACCTGGACATATGTAGTTTTACTATAGATATATTTTAGTCTACCATCGTTGTTTACCATGACCTGTACTTAGTTCGAAATGTGCAAAAATGTAGCCTCTACCAGGCACCGCGGATCGCTGGAAAAATAGTCGAAATTGGCCGAAATAAAGGGATAGTATACCAGAGAAGATCCAGGGCCATAAAAGCTCCAATTTGCGACCCACGGAGCCTGTGCGGAGTCGCAAGCTTCAAACGATATCAAATTAATCCCCCTATTATTCATACAAAGAAACGTGGGTCGCAAATTGGAGCTTCTATGGCCCTGGATCTTCTCTGGTATACTATCCCTTTTTTTCGGCCAATTTCTACTTTTTTTCCAGCGATCCGCGGTGCCTGGTAGAGGCCAGCAAAAATGTACAGTTCAATATCCTGTGATTTGTGACATATCTAGTGCGCGTCAGTACCGCCCGATACGTCCTTGTATCTAGCAGACAGGGACGGACACGTCGTTTATCAAACCCAAACGTCGGCAAACCCGAGAGGTCTACTCGGCTTGTCTGACATCTGTACCAGGAAATTACACTGGTTATTGAAGCGGAAGATCTGGCCGTCCTTATCCAGGCAATCCAATTATGGAACTCTCGAGCAAGCAATTACCCTCAAAGTTTGGGGGCATTTGTCCGCAATATGGCGTCATCTGGTATGGTGGTGCGGTTCGTACAGTTTATATGATGGCGACAATTCGATTAAATCTTATAATAATTGTGCTCATAAAATAAAATTATTGTTATTCATAGTTGGCCACCTACAGCATACATTGACCTGATAGAAAATGCTCGTTATATATAGTTAATATTCCTAATGCAACTATACAAACCTTCCATAAACGAAAAATTAACAATTCATATGAAGAATATACAGTAATAGTGCCGATGATTATCATTCAAAACTTTCTGTGTTTTGATGTCTTTTATATCGTGCTTTTCGAATTCCCAAAAGCTGTCCGGCCGGGCCTAGTGTGGGAATTGTGACCTCAGCATTAGTCAAGTTAATAGAAAGTTTATTGAACATTCATGGGCTAATTGCAAGAACATGATAACAAAAATAAACAGTAAAAATGATAATAAGTAATGCTAATGCTACTTTAGATATACATTTGTAGTTATTGTTGGGTTTGATTTCTTTTCTGTGTGCAGTGGAGTATGAAATGGCCGACATTTTGCGAGATATATGAATTGGGAGGTGTTAATAGAAATGCAGTTTTTTGTAGGCTGGGAAGGTAAATAAAGCTAGGGAACATTTTGGTGACCATTTCAAATAACTTATCTCTTTCGGTGCTATAATAACCCCCGGTTTCTTCCATACAGGAGCCTATCCACGTCTTTCACTCAGTTTCCGTCTGAAGAGGAACATCGGGTACTTCATGCTGCAGACCTACATGCCGTCTGTGCTCATCGTCATCCTGTCTTGGGTGTCCTTCTGGATCAACCCCGAGGCCACGGCTGCACGGGTGGCGCTAGGTCAGCACATAACTTTTTTTTTTATTACTTACTTCATATTCACCGCAAAACAAGGCTCATGAGAGCCACTCACGTGTTTGGGGTTACTCTACAGCCAGTGAGGACTTTTTTGCACGAGGGATTAAACAGGCCATCTTCATGGCATTACAAACTTCCCTCAACAGAGACGGGGGGCGATATAGACTTTCTGTAACCTATGATCCACTGCTTAACTGCAGGTTAATTTTGTTGTACCCACGTATCTGTCTGTATGTCTACATGTAGTCAAATACCTTACGAAAGTCGCTGTACTTTTGTTGTGTATATAAAGTTCAATATGACTTCTCTTTTTTCCAGGTATCACTACTGTACTGACTGTGACGACCATCAACACAAGTGTCCGCGCGTCCCTTCCCAAAATCTCCTACGTGAAGGCAATCGACCTGTACCTAATGGGGTGTTTTGTCTTTGTCTTTGCGGCACTGATTGAGTACGCTGTGGTTAATTATAAATACTTCGGCTCCAAACCCAAGAGGGGGGAAATCCAATTGGGCTCGACTTCCTCGCCGAGTCCACCGGCCCAGCGGTGCAGGAGACAGCGTCGGGACACCAGTAATCACTCCATGGGCAGTGTCGGGGACAACTCTTACCAGCAGGTATACAAATTAGCATGAAAGTTCATCTGAGTTGGTAAATTACATTATGAAAAACGTGATTTTTCCCACGTGTGACAGCCGGGACGGGGGGCGATATCGACTTCAGACAACCTTTGACCCTTTGCTGATGTCACACGTGGGAAAAATCACGTGCCCACAGCATTTGGGTCAGATAGCTGAGGAAGACTGAGTGATTCAGTCGAAAATTTCTGGTGAGTCAAATTTTGAGTTGGAGAACAGTTTAAGTTTTTCATAACAAATTGCATGAAAGTTCATCTGTGTTGGTACAAGTCATTATGAACCTAGAAAGGTAACAATTTGCAAGGCAAATGCATAATGTTAACCTTCGCGTATGGTCTGTTCTGATAATTCTTACTCAAACATTCATATATATGGCCAGACAGGAGTCTAAACCCCTCCTGCTATAAAATTGCAACATGATGTAACCCAACACTAGTTACCATGGTAACAGACACGACATTGGTTCAGGTCAGAGGTTACTGTTTGGAGAAGAAGAGGAAGAAGAAACTGAGCAAAAACAATATATTTTCCTTCGGTAATCATAATAAAGACTAAACTTTCCTTCGAACACTGAAATGAATCAGGGACTTACCACAAATAACCCTGAACAGGGACGGGGGGCGACACAAGTTATCTGGCACGTATAACCCGCTACTACGGTCACGTGTCTATGACGTCACGTTCCAAGAGTAGACGGGTCCATTCCGAACAAAACTTTACAATTGTTCAAACGTCCACCGAACAATCCATCCAACCTCAGACACACACAGACGGCTATGTTATACCAAGGAGTTTCTAGGTTGTACCCTACTACTAGTCTGATGTAGTAGGACCGGCCAAACTCCCCCCGGGCTCAACTCCCCGTAGCGGTAATTTAGGTAGGCGGGCGCAGGGCTCTTGGCCGCCGAAGGAAAACGGCTAACGGCCCGATACAGTCTGGCACCTAGGTTAACGCCTATGGGACATGGTAGAGCGAACTCAGGTGGTAGACTAGACGGTTATCTCACAGAAATGGACGACTTTATTGCTTTCCGCAACACGGGAACATATAACCTTGGATGATTTATTTTATCGCACGGCGTAAAGACGACTATAGAACCGCTACAATCCGGCCCGTCCTACGGGGATTAGGTAACGATCGTACGGGTAGGCTTTATATGGCTGGGGCGTGGTCTGAACCCGACACCACTGTAACCTTCGGTTCTCATGCGAATTCACGTTATAAATTGAGGTTTTGTACCGCAATGACAACATTTCCGAAGGTAGAACTTAGTTTAAGAGTTGTTCCACTAGGACATTACAGGCTTTACATCCAAAGGCAAACTGTAGTACAAGCAAGAAATTCTTTGATTTGTTGGCTGCTTTTTTGTTTGATCAACAGCCTTCAACTTCTAACCAAAAGCACCGAAATTTCGTCGTAACTCTGATCCCTAACAGACGTACGTCTACCGCGGTTGATGCTGTTTTTACTGTAGCCATCATCCAAAGTTTTTATCGCCACAGGAAGTTTAGAATAGGTTTTGTAATTGCTGTATCTTACTTGGAAGCTACTTTGTGCTGGAAGCTGCCCCCAGGACACCAACTGTTTTGATAGCACGATGAATAATGGGGATTTTGTGGATCAAAGTGAACATTCTAGGCCCCCTGGTAAAACAAGCGTCATAAGACAAATATGGATATCTGTAACGTTATTTTTTCCATTGAGCAGCATAGAAACTTACAGGACACATACAGTGGGCAATTATAGCAGGTTGCTAATCTTGCTAATCTGACAAAGAAGATTACATACAATGATAAATAATAATAATAACAAAACAGCAACAAGTAACAAAACAGCAAATAACAAAACAGAAAATGGGCGATATAAATTATGATAACATGACTTTAAAAAAAAAGATCATGATGTTTTGAAAAATAATGTTTTTTCCGTAGGCAGTTGAACAAATTTAGTCAAGTGTAAACCGTTTTAAGTGAACAATGTAGGATTAAGTTGATGTCAAGATATGTCTGTTGTACATATACAGTTAATTCTGTACCGTTTTTTTACCCAGAATACATCACTGGTAAAAATTAAAATGGCGACTCTATGCCCGTTGTACCTTTAATTCTGTACCGTTTTTTTTTACTCAGAATATATCAGTGGTCGAAATCAAAATGTCGACTCTATGCCTGTCGTACATTTAATTCTGTATCGTTTTTTTACCCAGAATACATCAGTGGTCGAAATCAAAATGGCGACTCTATGTCTGTTGTACCTTTAATTCTGTGCCGTTGTGTTTTACCCAGAACACATCAGTGGTCGAAATCAAAATGGCGACTCTATGCCTGTCGTACATTTAATTCTGTATCGTTTTTTTTACCCAGAATACATCAGTGGTCGAAATCAAAATGGCGACTCTATGCCTGTTGTATCTTTAATTCTGTGCCGTTTTTTTTACCCAGAATACATCATCAGTGGTCGAAATCAAAATGGAGACTCTATGCCTGTTGTTTCTTTAATTCTGTGCCGTTTTTTTACCCAGAATACATCATCAGTGGTCGAAATCAAAATGGAGACTCTATGCCTGTTGTTTCTTTAATTCTGTGCCGTTTTTTTTACCCAGAATACATCATCAGTGGTCGAAATCAAAATGGAGACTCTATGCCTGTTGTTTCTTTAATTCTGTGCCGTTTTTTTTACCCAGAATACATCATCAGTGGTCGAAATCAAAATGGAGACTCTATGCCTGTTGTTTCTTTAATTCTGTGCCGTTTTTTTTACCCAGAATACATCAGTGGTCGAGATCAAAATGGCGACTCTGTCCTCGAGAGCAGACATACAGGACGACCGGAACCACAAGCAGGACGCCCCGGCGCTGACATCAGTACACTCCGACGAGACAAGGACCCCAGTCACACCGCACGGACTGTACATGGACTCGCCTGAACCCATACGGCACTACGAACGTACTACGTCAACCACGTCCAGTCCGGATTTCAACAACGTCGGCATGCGCAGACGCAAAAATCCCGCCGATCCTAAAATTTCCATCCCGAGGCTGAAGCTGCCGAAGATCCGTGACGTCAACACGATAGACAGATACTGTAGGGTCCTGTTCCCCATTGCCTTCGTCATACTCAACACGGTGTACTGGGTTTCGTACTTTCTAGGGACGTAGACTACATCATGTATGTCTACTGCCAGGCTATCAGTGGTGCCTTTCTGGCAGCCCCGTAAACAAAAACAACAACAACAACAAAACATATCAGTTTGAACACAAAGACTACAGACGACTCGTTTGGTACTCGTCAGATGAAATACTATAGGCTGCCACTGATCCATAGACGGAAAGAGGAAATAGAATGTAAACATTTCTAATATTGCTAGAGATGCCATAGTTTGCGTGATTTTTATTGGTCTTACATCACATTGATGTAAGAAACCACTTTTACCCAAAACTGTACATGTCGAGGTCACCAAAAAATGTGATATTTTCTTCTTATATCGCAGTTAAAGCTAAAATACCCACATTAAGAAATATTTTGTTTGCAATCTTTAATCTGCCACAATTTTAAGAAAATATTTGTCTAAACCTACCAGAACATATTTAGAGTATATTTAGTACATTCATTTTTCGTCTGCATCTATTACATTAAATCTGTTGCTTAAAAGCTTTCTGAGGAAGTGCCGAAAAATGGTATATTATAACATGTATGTCTTTCTACAGGAATAAAAGCGCGTTAGTGTAAATACATAGAGATAACACGAGTTTCTATACCTTCATTAGACATTGCCTTGCCACAGACATAACCATTGTACAGAAGTAGGGACTGTGCACGATATCCAGTAGAACACAAACTTCTTATAAAACTACAGCTCTGACAAAAGTAAATTATGTGTACAGTAAATACGTTCAGACTTTGCTATCAGATTAAAGATTTTCATAATGAAAATGAGAGAATGTTCCCTGTTTTTATTTCTGGAGAATGTCATGAAATTCCAGGAATATATCTATAACTTTCATCTGCGTCTGACAGACATTGTACTTGCATTATATACAATTGATGTTTCTGTCTTAAAGTTTGTTTTTTGTTTAATTTCTGGGTGCAGAAGTATTATTTTAGCCGAGCAGTGGGTCTGTGGGTCTCTTTGTCTAGACAGAATAGGTTGACAGCACGTGGAAGATTGACAGGCAGGATGACAGGAGCTTAAAAGTCAGACACAGGAAATGGGGTGAACTTGAAGCCACGAAAATCCCAAATAATTCCCGGAAGTTTGAAATTTCCAGAGGCGCATTTGACATTTGGTTCTTGACATTTGATTTTTGTAGAAGTACATGTATGTAGCATTTTTAAAGTCTTTGGAATGATTCGGCCGGGGATCGAACCCATGACCTCTGAACTGAATGCAACACTTTACTCACTTCGCCATTACACCGAGTACGCCCAATGGTACCAAAATTATTCTTAAGTCGTTTTTTCTTGGTTGCGTAAAAACCGTTCCGATGATGCAGTTGTATATTATATAACTTTAATCTCAGCTTCAATTCACTCCAGAATATCTCATGGGCTTAGCATGAAAGTTCATCTGTGTTGATACAAGTCATTATGAAAAAAGACTAAACTATCTCTGCCAACACTACAATAAATTGGGACTCAAACCACCCCAAATTTTCGGCTGACTCCGTCAACCTTGTTCACGGAATGGACCCTGGAATCTACTCTTGAAACCTGACGTCAGGGGTGAAGGAGGCGGTCTACATTAGAGCTCACAGACCTACCCTGAACAGAGACTGGGGGCGACACAAGTTATCTGGCAGGTATGACCCGCTACTACGGTCACGTGTCTCTGACGTCACGTGTAGACGGAACCATTCCGTGAACAAGGTTGAAGGAGTCAGCTGAAAATTTAGGTTGTGTCCCAATCTTTTCATTCCAGTGTTGGCATAGAAAGTTTAGTCTTTATTTCACATCCTGACCGCTGCAATAGCTCAATTGGTAGAGTGCTCGCTTTGTAACCGGGAGGTCGTGAGTTCAAACCCCGGCCGGGTCATACCAAAGACTTTAAAAATGGTACACACTTCTTTCTCTGCTTTAGCACTCAGCACATATGAGAAAGAGTGTGGGAAGGTCAAAAACACAGCACTACCAGCGGACCAGCCCCCTGCTGTAGTGCATTGCACAACTGTGTGTCGCCCAAGGGCTACAGAAATGGAGATGGGCACCACCCTACGCTCTGCATAAGGGCACAGGAGACCTTTCTTTTCTTTCTTCCTTGGCTGTGTGTGGTTCTCCTCTCTTGAGGAAGTCTCACGTTAACCACGTCACAACCGGAGGGGAATAGAACGGAGACGTCTAATAAAGCAAAAAGTCCCCATGGTGTGCACGACAGGATATCGTGCATCGAAAGACACCCTGAAGCTAAAAATAGCGATGATTCCAATGGTCTACAGCATAAGATATTGGATGTAATTGTTCACCATACATCACTGTGACTATTCCGATCTTGTAGGAATGTCGGAATGAACGTGGTTGGCATGGGCCCAAAATTGGTGAAAAACCTTCAAAGCATCCATTGCGATTTCATGGCAGCAAAACTGGAAAAATGAACAAGGCAATCTTTATGATATTGACACATAATGCCCAATATTAGCACATTTGAATCAGCATTTCGTACTTTGGGCATTTAAAACTGCAGAAACAAGCCCTAATACGAGTCCTTTATTTTCTGGGCGGTACCCTAGAAGTAGGGCCATTTTAGTAACCATTTTCCGTCAGAATTTTAGGAATGTTTGCCCCATGAGGGTTAATATACACTGAGATAGCATGGTTTTAACTCAGTGTGTAGATAAGTGACTAGAATGTTGGCTTTGAAAAATCGGGTTTCCAAACCCTAAAAACTGTATTGCCTTTAATATTGGCATCGCCATTCTGTCGTTTATATGTCTGTTAAATCATGCATGCAGAAAGGAAAGAAAAACATGTATCTCGCGTTATTTTTGGCAAAAAATACTAATTTAAAGTCTTCCTGCTTTATTTCATTGGTGATCGCTACCCCTAAAATCTCAGTTTTGCTATAGATATCTAAATGCCACTTGATTTGTAGTAGGGTTAGAATGAACACTCTACTTCGATTATTGGAATAACTGAATTCGTATCTCTGAAAATAAGGTCTGCACCAATAGCTTACAGTAAGACATGTAACTCAGAATGATGCAACCAACTCTTGACGGCGTCGTTGTTGTATTGGCGGCAGTGTCTGAGCGACACCGTTCGATTGTTCTTGGGACTGCAGTTGCTGTCCTAGGATCTAGAGTGCACTCAAAGAAGAAAAGCAATGTGGCTCATCTACATTTCCCAAGTATGTCATGGCAAGCATGCTATTTAATGTTGCTGTCTGGTGTTCAGATGTTTATCATATAAGCGGACGAATAGACAACCATTGACTAGAATAGTATGATCAATGATCCATATTGATTCTCACTTGTAATGTCTAAAGCGAGTCTTTTTTAAGTGAATTAACCTTAGGCCACAGCAAGTAAATGTTATGGATGACATCCTTCGCGGACTCCAAATCTAATGCGAGCGGGCGAAACAAAAACAAGACGGGCCGAAAAAAACAAGGTTCCTACATGTTAAAATTTTTACTCAATCATTGGTACTAATGGTTTTTATTCAGTGGGAACATCACATATACACATCCACCATCACATATCACTGCATCAAAGTAAGAAACAAAACATTAAATCAGAGTCTTTTCTTGTCTCCTCTCTTCATAGTTATCTGCCATCCACCTTCCGGCATGGCAACATACATCTTTGTCCATTTTCGGCATGTTGACCACTGTCAGAAGGCAACAAAATTTCTTGGTTTTTTTTTTCAAAATCGATGCGCGAAAATCAATGCGCGCGCTGATGTCATCCATAAAATTTACTTGCTGTGGCCTTAAACCATGATCAAGGTGGTTAGGTTTCAAGGCGGCACAACACAGTATTAGCCCTATGGGGATTTCTATAGTTAAGGACCCCAAAGTGACTCACTTCGACTCACGGAAAATCATACTAGGGTGCACAAGCAAGGTTCAGAATTTTGATATGTTTAATTTCAGGGTATAGTGTACAAAATATGTGAAAATGAGCTTAAATTTGCCGGCTAGTTCTCTTCTCGCGCCCTCTTTTATTAGCGCCACTGCGGAGGTCATGGAACTGCAGCCGACGCACAGTGCTAGGCGGGACAAGTATCCAAGCGCAAATCTACTCCGACTAAACACGCACCATAATCCAACTTTTACAGTCTCAAAACTGACGTATTCCTCTAACATTTACCACAGGTTCTGTCTCGATGCCATGCACAGAACAATCTCTGCACCCTTCCCTAGTATTGTGTAGCACTACTTTGTGCCCGGACTACTTTTGAACTGGTAAAGCCAACAGCATTCGACAGTTTTAAGGAACGAACAAATGAAAGCTTGCAGCGTCAATATGTTTATCTGAAAAAGAAATGCATAGCTAAATTTCTACAGTCCCGAAAGCTTACTTTTGCATTTTTAGTTAATCTCCAAGCAGATCTTTCGGTGGCAAGACAGTATCCATTGGCCAGAGGAGTGTCCATTAGCCACCGAAGTGGCTAATGGA